CAGGCTCGCTTTTTTTAAACTAAAAATTTAATTTATTTATTTTTTTGTAGTTAATTTGCATAGCACATTTCAGCAGCAAGGCAGTTCAAAGTGCTTTACATAGTAAAAACATCGTTTGAAAACATCAATTATGAAACGAGCAACAAAACATGCATTTGGTTAAATGCCATCAGAAATGTATTAAAATATTTTCTAGCTATTATTAATCAAAGGCAGCAAACAGCCTTTAGCCTTGATTTAAAGGAATGCAGTGTTTCGCCTGTTGTGCAGTTTTCTGAAAGTTTCTTCCAGATTGAAGGAGCATAAAAACTTAATGCTGCTTCTCCATGTTTGCTTCTGGTTGTGAGGATGGGCTACTGCGTATATTGGTGCTAAGGGATGCAGTGATTTATAAACTAATAACAGTATTTTAAAGTCTGTTCTCTGAGCTACAGGGAGCCAGTGGAACGATTTTAGAAAAAGGGGCGATGAACGCTATTTTCTTTGTTTTAGTGAGAATGCCATCAGCAGCGTTCTGAATCAGCTGCAGCTGGGGGATTTATTTTTCAGGCAGATTTGTGAAGACACTGTTGCATTAATGAATTTGACTAAGGATAAATGAATGGATGAGTTTCTAAATCTTCCTGAGACATTAGTCCTCTAATCGTGGAAATGTTCTTCAGGTGGTAACTGTCTTTATGTGGCTATGAATGTCCAGGTCAGAGTTCGTCACTGCATCCAGATTTGGAGCCTGATCACTGAAGGTGTGTGCTGACTCTGTGTTGTTCCTTTTAGGTCAGAAGAGAAGCTAATTTAATTCTCAGTGTCAGAGAAGGTGTGATAGCCTTGGTGTACTTTCCTCTACACCGTAAAGTCTGACTTTGAAATATTAGGAGATCATTTTACGAGACTCATTTTATCGCGTTCCAGTTTCTTATTGTTGTACCAGTTCCAGCAGCTTTGACTCTGTTTGTCATGTTCCTGCTGAGGAGCAGAGCCGGCGTGTCAGAGCCGAACTTGGAGCGAACACGCCGACGACTCAAACAAGCAATGTTATGACAGTCTAACTGCACGCTGATCCACACTTTGGCAGCATGTGTGAAATCCATCCCACCAAATGTTTTCCAATTCCACAATGATAACGAGGAGGAAATAAGCTTTGGATTAGTTCACCGCTCACGATCCTGTGACATTTGCTTTGAGTCATCTTTTACTCGTAACATTCTCCGTAGCTGCATAATATCTTGTCAGATTTAATATTTTTCTCATTTCATCATTTTTGTCTTCATCCCACGGTCTCTGAGCCGCTCTCCTGTCGGCCCGATGGAGCGCGCGCGATGATTCATGTTCCTTATCTTGCATTAGCTCCCCTTGTGTCCTAATGCATCTCCCAGCCAGACTGTTGCGCTCTCAAAGATGGCTCGCTATTTTGTTGAATTTGTCACACGTGTTCTGCTTCTTTTCAGCGGAAAAGCAGCTTACAGGTGTTGGTGTTACTTAAGCCTCATTACACAGCGTCTCCTGAATGCCAAGACAGGAGGGGAGCGGAGATTTTCCAATTCTTTCATTTTTCACTTTACTCTGTGCAGTTTGTGCTGCTGCTGATGGTACTGCAGTCGTGTCTTTGGGTTTCTGCAAAATGTGGCATTTGGTGGAAAAATCCGACCGTACGCTCAAGCCTTTTTGGAGCCCTAAGCAGATTTTTAGTAGGTGGCCCTCTTATACTAACATGTCAATACAAGATGTTTTATCATCCCAAAGCTACCCTGTATGTGAAAGATACCAATTGTCATTAGCATGATTTGTTATTAGCTGACATCATACCAGTGTTTATAATGGCTATTGATTAATAAACTAAAAACAGTTATCTGGATTTTTGAAATGCAGTGGTATTTAATTGTACCATATTATTTAAACTACTTTCACATAACATTAACTGATAAACAATGCATTTACAGAAAACAAATGAACAAGTTTCATATCTTATATTTCCCCAAAAGTGGCAGGAACTGTCCACAGGAAGAAATTAACCATTATTTGTGTAGCAACTGTAGTAAATTACTTTTCCATGTGAAATAGTATTTAGTTTGTATTATTCAGTGTTGTTTTAAATATAAATATTTTTTTTTTTTATTATCCTAGCTTAGGACTCTTGGGCCGCTGGTGGTGCGGGGGGCCTAAGCAGCTGCTTAATACGCATATGCCTTGGGCCGGCCGTCCGTCCTCACACTAATCAAAAGAAATAAATAAAGTCAAAACTAAACAAATGCTTAATTTCCGTTTGTGGAACAAATCTTGTAAAGATACCACAGAGAGTAGATCCATTTTTACTTTGAAGAAAATGATAAAATATAATTTTCTGTCTCAGTACAATGAAGTACATCAATTCAGTAGAGTGCTGTATCATTACAGAAATAATATATGTTGTTTTCTTTTTTGTCATCATTATTTCCATATATTCACATTGCCTGTTTTGTGTTTAAATATAAATCTGTGTGGATGGTTGATTGTACCTTAGTTGTTCTTGACATGGCGAATTGACTTTTGGATGAAGGGGTGAATTATATTAAAATGTTTTCCATTTCCATCGGTGAAATCTTCTTTACAACTTAACATTTACTGATCTTTGAGAATGTGTTCTTGTGTTATTAAGCCACCACCACTATATTACTTTAAAATGGTCTCAAAACAACGTTATAATTTATTGCAGTAACTTCTGGGACAATTTATCGTTCAGTGAAATTTGTTATAGTCACTGCTGCCTACAATTAACACAACCAACAGCCATTATATTACTAATAGTAGACTGATCTCCTTTCAAATTAGATACTTTATTTATCCCAAAGAGGGACATTGACAGATTCAGTAGCATCAGCATAAATGGTAGAAAGACTAGAAATAAAACAGAATCAACACGTATAATAATAATAATAAAACTACTTAATAGCACTGATTGGTTGAGGCAGGGCTCATAGTGGTGAATGTCCTGTAAGCTGGATTCCCTTCGCGCATCACGTCTGTTTCCACAGCACATCCCACAGTTGCACAACTGAGATGCTGGGAATTTGGAGAGCAACACTTCAAAGTGGATGCTGTTTCTCAAGCATTTTTGGTTTCTGGCAGGGTGTGTGTTTTCCAAACAGAGTTGACAGCTGCCAGGGAATATCGTTTCTGCCTTGACTGATCCCCGAAAAACAAAAGAAAAAATATTGCTCCTAAAGAGAAGTGAGTTGTTGAAGTAACTCCTGCTATCTAACTTTCTTCATAGAGGAGGCTCTGGGCAGGAAGTGTCTCCTGTAACAATCAGTGACGCAGCAAATTGGAAAAAGCTTCTGATTGTAAACACTTTTACTGAATTATTATTCAGGAAATAGGATGCACTGGGTTATGTTGTTACGTTTGCGATACATTAAAAAGGTGTAATGCACTATGTATTATTTTAAACTTTACCTAATGGCTAACTTTTGGTTGTTGGTATCTAATGTGCTAATTAGTGCTATGAAGCTTACCAGAAATTTCCTGCTCTGTAAACAACTGTCTTCCACTGCGAAGAGAGAAGTGCTGAGCCAAACAAGATGGCTGCTGATGTTAATTTAATACTTTAAAACATGGCCAACATGAGCAGAACGGCTTTGTTAATTTCTTCTACTGCCATTTCTAAAACTACAGTCAGAGTACAGAAAATTGACCTCATTGTTCACAACTTCTCCTTTTCACTGATTGGTTGAAATTGTCCCAGAGAAATCCAAGTTGGTGGGAGAAATACAAGACGGAGCAATGAAGGGAGATGAGAATCAAGCAGAATTGCATAGGAAGGCAACGGCCAAGCTATCTTGTGAGTAGCTATTGAAACCTGAATCTTTACAGCACCAAGACCAATGCTGTAATCTGTTTTTCTGGCTAAACCTTCTAAGTCAAAAGATATTTTTATTTTCTAACTTTCATATTTTGCTCCAAGTTGCCTTACATTTCACAGACTTACATTTCACAGAAACTTTAACAATCACAAACTTCCTTCCAAACATTGCCTCAGTGGAAGGAAAAGGGCATTGTAATTTTCTTCAGACTTTCCTAAACCGCAAAAATAATGCAAATTCCTGAAAGGGCCATGCATAAATGATCAGGAAGGTGCGTACCAATTAAGTGGCTGATCCAAGCTTCATTTAGTTCAGAACGATGGCCGCAGGAGATTTAATACGCGGCGTCCTGCTGAGCTGCACGCTAATGAAGTGTAATGCAGACGTCCAAATGGAAGCACAGACTTTTCTCGATATGCCAGACTTGCCACCATTAGCCTCCATCGCACCCTACTTCAGGTAATAGTTGCAGGGGGAAAAAAATCTTCACATCTGAATAGAAAAAGGTGAAGCAATAATTTATGAGCTCTCACCAAATTCAAAGCTTTGTGACAAACTGGAGAGACGATTCGAGACTGGATCAGGTCAGAACATCAATATGTATTTCTGGAAAAACAAGAGAAGAAAATGCAGAATTTTGCGTGAGATTTAATGTCGTGCCCTACATATAACCCACATGCTTCCTTCAGTCGATGTGAGCTGTGGAGGCGTGAGCTCTCTGTGATGCCAGGTCTGCCTCCAGCTCTGCTTCTCTCTTAGTGAACACTGCATTTCTGTTTTTTTGTTTTTTTGTGAACGAGAGAAACGTGATATGTATGACATTATATCACTTCAAAAACACAACATTTTCTGGTCAAGTTTATAGTGTAAATTTCTTAGTACATTTCTAGTTTTGTGCTATTGTTTTGAACTAGATGCTTAAAACCAGCACTAGTTTTAAACAGCACTGTCTGTGCAGTGTCTGTGGGCTTGCCTAAGGGGTTCCCGAATAAAAGCTAGTGCTGTTTGGCGGGGGCGTGGCATAAAATAGTTTGCTAACTCCTGCACTAAACTAATTAAAACCAGAACTAGACACTAAACCAAAAATACTCTGAAGATTTTGCGTTTTTGCAGCATACTTATGAAACCCAAACCAAGAATGCTGGTGTTTGTCTCTCGTTCCAGGTGATGATCCTGTACTTCAACCCCAGCGTGTTCCGATGCGTCCTCCTGAGGTGGGTCCGCCTCCTGGGATTCGCCATCGCGTACGGCACCATCATCCTCAAGCTGTACAGGTACGGATGAGTTAACGACAACAAAGAGCGTAATCTGTATCTGAGACGTTTCTCTTTTTTCTTCTACTATGAATTATTCTGATGGTGATATTAAATTGAAAGCAAAAACTAAAAATAGGCAAAACCGACTTCTCACTCGACGTCTCCTATCCCACCATCTCTTCTGCTTCTTTCTCTGTTTCAATAATTCAGCTCCCTCTCAAAGATTGCATGCTTTTTTGGCCCGTACGCACATTTACATTTCACATCAGGTCTGATCTTTCCACGTCTGCCTGCATTCATACACACACAGACACACACACTCTGGCTTCCTAATCTGCAGCTTGCAGCAAGTATTACTGAGCTGGGAGAAGGAGGTCAAAGATTGACCAGAAAGTTCTCTTGGCAAAATTACCAATTTGACTTTTTTTATTATTATTTCTTTTTGCAAGCTTGTTGGATGGAAAGTGTGCCTCAGGGGAAAACTCTTACAGCCTGAGCGGTCCGACTGGATATCAGATGAAACGGATTGGTCACAGACTGGACTGCCAATGAGGAGCATTATAAACAGGGAATGACATATTTTTCAGACTTCATTGCTGATTAAAGGTATTGAAATTTTGAGATGCAGGCCAACACAAAGTTATGCAAAACCCTGTAAGGAAATAATACATAAATAAAAAACCACACTTGCAAACCCACTAAAGCATGGAGGTTCTCTGTAGCTAGACTGGAGAAAGTTAGTCAGAAAAGCTCAAAAGAGAAGCTGCAGAGATTTACAGCTCAAGTTTAGGTTCAACTCTGAATCTGTCTGTAGTAGAACTATGAGATTTGCAATTCATAAATGTGGCAAGACAAAAGCCTTAAAGCTGCAGTATGTGACTTTTAAACTTTTTACTTATTTATTAAAACAGTCACCATGTACAGACAGTAAAATATAAGACAAACAATCTGTGAAAAATTTGAGTTCCTCCACCTTCTCCCAGTGCTGATGTCTGAAGAAATGCACTGGCACCATCAGGCGCTGTGAATCATGCTTGTGTGCTTTTGCTAAATGTTCTCGTGGCGGAGAAACAACTTGTCATTCCAGGAACACTGCTTTCATCATCTGTGCCCATGCTAACTCGCCCTAGCATTCACGACATGCTCTGCTGATGGGGAGAAGCTGTAGCATAGCAGAGAGCAAGAGGGAGGGTGTGAGCAGCATGTATACAAGCTTGATTGGCAGCACTAAGACCCTCCTCCTTGCTCTGATTGGTTATTTCTAGTTAGCACAGAGCAGGGAAATTGCAGAGGAGCTTGATTCTCATACCAAACTGTCATGACCAAGTCACAGTTTTAACAAATCTGGAAAATATATTTTTTTCTAAAAGTGACTTACTGCCACTGTAAGAAGTGCTGTTTGTCAATCAATGCAAAGTACAGAGCAAGCAGTCATTTTCAGACAACATCTCCACAATTCACATCCAACCACAAATCCACCACTATGGATAATTTCTTTCCCCCTTCGTTTCGTACAAGTGAAGCTGCAGAGCTCCTGGGCCATGTGTGCTTTCAGAGCGAACGGCTGGGATTGTTGAACTGAAACCAGTGTCGGTTACGACTGCATCATTCAGCAGAGCAACATGCGTGAGTCATGTGTGTGGGAATTTCTCCACCAAGACCTGGCATCTTATGAATAAACCACCCATGCATTGTTCCAAACACGTCAGTAGCGAATTTGGACTGAAAACAGATTCAGATTGTTGTATTTTATATTTTATGAACAAAAACGTTTCTTCCGTTTGCTTTCCACTTCATCCGGTACAGGAGCACAGCACGCTAGTTAGACTTGAATAAATAAAACTGAAATGGAGATGTTCCTGTTCATGTGGGAATGTTGACTGAAGCAACGATCTAATAATTAATGGACAAGTAAACTGAAAATGTCAAATGAAACATCTACTTCTCAGAAATAATTTAATAATTTGGGGAATAATCATGGAGTTTTTCCAGATTCAAACCGTGTTTCCTTCCCTCAGGGTCCTGAAGGTGTTCCTCTCCCGGACGGCCCAGAGGACGCCTTACATGACCAGCTGGCGCGTCCTGCGGCTGTTGGCGGTGATTCTCCTCGTGGTGCTGTGGTTCCTGGTGGCCTGGACCTCGGCTGTGTGCCAGAGCCCGGAGCTGAGTCGCAGTCTGATAGTCGCAGGCTTCACACCAGAGGGGATGCAGTTCAGCATGTGCCTGCTGGACCGATGGGACTACATGATGGGAGTGGGTGAGTGTGTGTGTGGGCTTTTTATTTATTTTTTGGCAGTTTGGTCAAGAGGAAAGTGACCCTGACTTCCATGCTTGGGAGTCAATTGTAATCTCGTTACTTTACAAACAACTGCTTTGTCATGGGAGTTCAGCTGAGAAATGTTTGGAGAAATATAAATCTAACAGAGAAAAGGTCAAGGGGTATTATTTGTGTTTATGTTTTTTTATGTTTGTACCTCAGGTTTTCATCAGCTCATGTCATTATTGTCCGTCGAGATTAAGGCTGCAACTAGCGATTATTTTAGCAATCGATTACTCTGATTATTAATCAATTAATCAGATTTTAAAAATTGCCACCTTCTACAAATAATTTATTTGACCTTTTTTTTAAAATATTAGAAATACATTAAAATAAACAAATAAACAAGTCTTTAAAAAAGAAAATAAAAATGCCTGAAGCTCATATTTCCACATTTCATATGTAGAAATGTGAGCCAGAACACATACACAGACAAAGGTGTTTTTATCTCAAATGTTTTTTGTTCAGTTTCTACTGCTATAAATGTGTTGCTTTTCGGTCAAAGGTCCTTTTTTTAGTCTGTATATTTGATTTAATGATTGATCAATGACTAAATTATTTCAGTGATCAATCAAACACGATTAATCCTTTCCTCCTGTCTTCTGCCAGCTTGGCGCTACAGTTTCTTATCTCTGGATAGTTAAAGGTGATTTTCATAGTGCATAAACAAACATCAAACACATGTGGTAAGATTTTTGGCAGCTTGTTGAGTAAAGTAGCTCTTGAGTTTTTAACCACTTCTTGTCCACTTGACTGATGCCGTGTTGGGTTGAGAGTCCTGCTGGATAAATGACACTAAATAGTTTTGCTCTGTCCGTCTGAACTCGAGCACATCCTCTCTCTTCTTTTGCTTTGTGACCATCTTGTTGGCTTTTCTGTCTGGTTCTGGTCGTTTGGACTTGCCACCATTTTCCTCAGTTGAACGCAGAAATGACGGCACCTCCTGTGAGACGTTTTGTGTCCACCGTGAATCGATTTGCTCCTGCCGGTGGGGGTCTTTCATATCCGCTTTGACAACCAACACTTTAAATACATTTTCTTTAATCTACTCACAGCCTGCTGTGAGGAGGTGTAACGATATAATTAGAATAATAATAGAAGGTAATACAATGTTTTCAGCTGATAGGGCTTGAGAATTGTGCATTTTAGTGACCATTTTCCTCCATAAATAAGGCAGTTTAGCACAAGCTTTTGCCATTCAGGTACAAAGTGGTTTATTTTCAGGAATGAAAAATAGGTAGGATGGGATGAAATAGAGATGTGGGTATGCGTTGGCAAACGGGTGAATTAAATCACCTGCCCCACATAACTGGCATATTTACTCGACTGAAAAATAGGAACATTTTTCAGTCGTTTCGATCACTCCCATGTTCAAGAGAAAAACGAACGCATTTTTCACCAGAATAGCTGCACGTTTTAGTGTACATGCACCTGAGATATAAAATAATCTGATCACTCCCGTAATGTCTAGTTTCGTTGTTGCCTTTCCTCTTCTCGTAATCTTGGTCTGTTGTGTGTTTGGCGCCGCCCTCTGACAGAGGTTATTGTTGGAATTGGTGGTATAAATTGCCTGAAGGAATGTCAGTCATTTGCCTTTTTATAGGTCTTTTACTCTTTTTTCTTCATATTTGTTGTAAACATGGCGTCCTCGTGTTTTTATGTGTAGGTCATTCCAAAACCGAACATCCAAGCATATAGTCACACTTACAGGTGCCACTTTAGTTTGACTTCTTCCATTTATCTGCAAAACTTTACATATTGGAGTCTTGCTCAAATGTAGCAGACATAAACGGGTACCATTGTGACCTCGTCTAAATCTGATAAACCTCTCTGCTTTTATGTGGTTCCTTTTGTAGATGAAAAGAGCTTTTTATTTAAGAAAGACTCAAAGGGCTACAAAACACACTAGCTCTTTCAAAACTGACAGTTTCAGGCTGCAATTCAAAGCACTTTCACAATTTCAAAATTGAATGTGAAATTATATATTTCAGGAGTACAATTTGCCTTTTCTCCACACAAGTCACTTAATAAGTGTTATATGATGGAGTAATCTCTTCAGGGCTCTTCAGTCAGAATAGTCGGTTAAATGCTAACTAAAAATAATCGCTACCTGCAGTCCAGATTTACAGCAACAATGGTAACAGAGGAAACAGAAATAAACATGTACTACATGTACGTGTTTGTGCACTATTGATGTTTTGACAAATGGCATTGTTTTCGCTTCATAAGAAGTGTATATAGAGAATTTCAGATCATAACTCTTCTTATATAACCCCTTTTTTTGAACGCTTGCTTTGCATCTTATCACCAACACACATACATATTTAGGAGACTCATCTTCAGAGAACATGTACCAAATAAAATTGTCAGTTCCTCGTTGTTGTCCTGGATTGTGTGGCTAAAGCTTCCTGAGCTCGTACCTTTCGCCCTAAACCATACCGCCCTCATCATAAATTCCTGGACCCCTGCTGTGTTTCTGTTCAAGATGACCCAGATGGCCTTCAGCTTGTGTTACAGTGCTTGTTCTTCGGTGACTGATTCCAGAAGCAGGAGGCAGCGATGTGCACCTCACTGGAGCCAGTCTGGCAGCAGGGGAGACTAATCCTGTTTGGAAAGGGAGAAACGATGAATCCCTCAGAAATCCTACTGAAAACTGACAGACATGCAGACTGAGAGACTGGAGGTGGCAGGGAAAGAAGAGAGGGAGTGAAGGAGAGCAGGGATGCTGGTGGGTTGTAGCCAACGATGCGGAGAGACATTTCTACCACCAGAACTTCAGAAAGACAAACATGTGGTGGGAGAACAGCTAAGGACACTCTGGAGACGGCACAAAGTATCTACAGAGAGAAAGTGTGTGTTTGTGTGTGTGCTTCTGCAAACCGGCGACATCTTCAAACAAATGTGCGCGCTCCGAAACGAAGCGTGCACAGGAATCCCTCCGGTTGTTCCTCTGAATGTGTGTAGACAAGCTAGCAAAAGAGGAAGCCCTGCTGTTTGCTCTGACAGCCGGAGAGAACACGCTGATGTGCTGCAGAGGCTGCAGAGGGACAGGGAGCACCTGCTGAAGCACCCGCGGAGCATTTCATCAATGCTGCATGACACCCCATTTTTGAAAAGCAGCCCTGTTTCCTCTTCCTGTTTTGGCTTGCTTTTTAATGTTGACAAGTGTTGTAGAAAAGCCCTCTGTAAAAAACATTTTAAAAAGTTTGTGTGAATCATTTATATGCACCTGCGTGATGCAATTGTTATTTCTTCCTGAAATACATATATATTTTTATATGACTTAAAGACTGTTTTAGCCAAAACTCCCCAGGCGTTATAGCTGTAGCTTTAGCCAGATCAGGTTTACTACAGGAATGCAACAGTTTTACATTTCAGGCAATAAAATATTTATTTTATTATTTAAAAAGGGAATTTATTGTTTTGTTGTTGTGTCCTTTAATGTATTTTTAATATTGCACAAACGGGCTTAAGTGCTTAGGTGATACATCTGTAGAATGTGCTAAAAATTTTTTACCCGATTAACTGATTAATCGTCTGAATACTTGATTAATCGATAGCTACAATAATCATTAGTTGCAGCCCAGATTTACATCAGCCATTGGAGAATAGCAAACAGAAACACATCTGTGTGTGTGTTTTTGCATCATGTTTGGACAAATGGATAGTTTCTATGTAATTAGTGATGACTTAAAGACTGTGCATACTCCTAAATATTAATTAAAAATAAGACTGAGATTTAATACCTCAACCAGTCACAATAAGCAAATAAAACCACATGATAAATTAAAATAAGCACGCTAATTTTTACTTGGACAACAATTGTTGCTCTAATATTTTTGAAAAGCTGCCATTTTGAGAAACATTTGTCACCCAGTACAAATTAGTTAGTTTGCACTTTTTGGCACTTTCACCTGTTTTTCTTGTGTAAACTGAATGATTATTATTATTTGAAGTGCAGTTTTGCTTTCTGAGACGTCACAATCCATTTGTTGTTTTTGTTATTTAGAATGCTTTCCAGCCCCAGTGTTGTGTTCTTTCAAAACAAATCGTTCTGTTTTGTCCAGCAAAATTTGTTACGGTGACAGGCCTTCTGTGTTATTTGTGATAGTTCTTTAATTTTGCAAACAGAAAAAAAGAAACAATCTAAAAAAAAGTCACTGCTTCACTTTGAGCCTCATTGGAAAGTTCATAAAAAGAGTGCAAAATTAAATTCATATTCCAAATGACTGTTTCTGCCAGTGATAGATGATGTTTTTATTTTTGTGCTAATCTTTGGGGATTACACTCTGTAAATCCACAACATAATTTCACAGTGCAGAGACAGACTCTGTTGCTTTGCGCGCTACAATAATTACTTTAGATTTTTTGATACTTTGAAATTTCATTAGGTGATAATGAGCTATCTGCAGCCAAACACTGGATCGCCTTTTCTGAAATATTGTCCTGTAACAATGAAGGCAGTTGTCTCTTCTCAATGTCCTTTCTGTAAATTATCCTATTTTATAACTCGGCTCCATGATAAGAGGATAACAAACACTGCCGTCATGGGAAGAGGATTAATCTATAATTCTTTATTGCTTTATAATAAGATTTGGAGGAGGGGTTGAAAGTTTAACCGTATTTAAAGCAGCATATTGTTGTGTGAAGGACTATTCAAACCCTTTAAACCTTTTTTACTGTTACACCCATCAATTTCAATGTCCTTTAGTGGTATGTGCTTTTTTAGATTGTTTTTCACAAATACCACAACCAGTCGTCGCCACTGGTGCAAACCACGAAGAAGACAGGAAGTAGTTGGAGGATGATGGCACCTATTTTCTTCAATGACATCACATGGACAGACTTGCGTGATTTCTTAATCAAACAAAATTTTTTTAAGTCATATTTGATATGTGTAGCATTTTTATAACTGAAGGTAACATAGTTACTTCTTTGCTCAATAATAGGACAGTATGTGCCCCAAAAATACATGACACTGCTCCTTTAAGGTTAAATGCACGAGGTTACTTCACCCGTAGTGTTTGAAGTGTTTGGAAACTACTCACTAACATGGCGCTACATTTACAGTATTCCTGATGTCCTTCATGTTAGGAGAACTAACAGCTGTCTGATACAAGGACCATGGATAGCACAGTGGATACAGTGTTTTCCTGAAGGGTACATATTGCCAAGGCTTTCACAAAGATGACTATTTTATGGAGGGAGTTAAGGGTAGGTAAAGCACAGAATGTCTGCAGCTCCTCAGAGAATTGTAGAAAATATGGTCGCCAATGGAAAAGGCTTCTTGACTGGAAATATTCAGCAAGGGGCTTTATGAAGAGCACAGTGGTTGCGAGGGCAGATAACAGGAAATCAGCTCTGCGATGTTTTCATTTCTTACACTTTGTAGCAAAAAAACTGAAGCCAATCAAAGTAAATGTTGAACTTTGGAAGCGTAAAACATCTGAAAGATACAATGAAGGCATCGGCAAATGTCGGTTATCTGTTCATGTTTACTGAAAAGTGTCCAAGATTGTAAAAAAATTAGCATACCCCATAACACTGTTTTTATAACACTGTCATCAATTTTTCCACAACTTCCCTTCCCTGACTGTCTGCTGTGTTTCTCAGTCGTCATGATGCTTGTTTGTTAAGTTCAAGTTTATGTTTTAAAAAGGGACAATTCGTATTAATGGACATTTACATGTAAATACAAAGGATTATAGTCAGGTGGCTAATTTTTATTTCCAGACCTGGTGGCAGGTTGATGTTGAAGCACAAAAATGTTCTTTAACAAACCTTTACAGAACATCTGGATTCGTACTGAGATAAAGAAAAAAATCACATCTGTTGAACATCAAGCAGATCTAGATATATTTTATTCATTTGTCTTTTCTTAATTTAGAAAATGAAAACAATAATGCACTTGACATTCAAACAACTTCAGATCCGGTGAACGTTTACCAGCTGGCCTGTCTTTGTTTCAGCCGAGTTCCTGTTCCTGCTGTGGGGTGTGTACCTGTGCTATGCCGTCCGCACCATCCCTTCTGCTTTCCACGAGCCGCGGTACATTGCTGTAGCCATCTACAACGAGCTCCTCATATCAGCCATCTTCCACATCATCAGGTGGGTCAATGTGATGGATCATCAAACTATTCCTTCTTCATTACGTGGGCTTCAAGCTGGGGTAACTTTTATAAACAATATGTTGTTTTTGGGGGAGTTTTTTGCATGTTTGTTAAAATTATCACTACTTTGTAACACTATAATATGAGACAGATAACCTGTGAATGAAATCGACCCCCTATGATCCTACTTAACAAATACACAACTCTATCAGAAACAACCAATCAGAGCCAGGAGGCGGGTCTTAGTGTTGTCAATCACGCTTGAATGCTCTGCTCACAACAACTGGTTCACCACAGCATAGCCCGACATGAACGCTAAGACTAGTTAGCTTTGCCAACAATGACTGCGAATTAGCTGCTTTCCTACAACGGTAAGTTGTTTCTCAGCCATTAGCACAATTTAGCAGAATATACATGTGTGTGATTGACAGCACTAAGTCATGCCTCCTGTCTCTGATTGGTTGATTTTGCCTGGGAGTGGTGCATTTCTGCAGATGACAATAAGAGCCCTGGAAAGATGCACAGAAGCTTTCACTGATTATCTGTCTCACATTATACTGTCTCAAAATAATGTAACAAATAAGTATTTACATATTTTTTATATATGCAAATTTACATTTCCCAGCTTTAGGTCTTACCAGATAATTTATGTGACAGTATCTTGCTTGGCTAGCTAATTATATAGCTATACGCAGATAGCTATTTATCCATCTTTCGAGGTAGATAGGTAGGTACCCATCTATCTATCCATCCATATGAATAACCGGGCAGCTAGATAACTAGCCAGATTGACAGATATGTTATTGTCCCCATAGGGATAATTTGTTTTGGACATTGTGTGCTAATCAAAAGCTTCTACCACAATTCACTCCAAAAATAGAAACACATGCTTAACACTAAAAAAACAATAAAATCAAACTTTGTACAATAATGTCAAGCTCTTTATAAACTACACCTCTGTCTTTGTATAACCTAATACTTAACCTCTTACATGTAGATATCTTCTTGTTGAAGCTGTACGGGCACATATCATCTCGGGGGGGAAAAAAGACATTTTCATGCAGCTCCTTCGTCAGGGAAATGAACAGTCAGCAGAGTACCGGGTGAGACAGTTTAAAGGATAGCATAAATTATATCTCCAAAGCGAGCTTGACTAAAATAGAACTAAAATCTGTTTTTCGCACGCTGTTTGTCGATGTCAGTCCCTGTCGCACTGAATTAAACAGTAGTTCTTCCACTGCTCATCTGGTATGCACTGAACTATTTTGAAGTTGTTGGTTAATCAAAACTAATCTGCTATGTGCTGGATTTGAATACTAAGGTCGTATAAATACTCCTTCTGGTTTGTCAGAGTTTTTCTAAAATTAACAGCTAGCAATGTTTCACTAACCAGTCCTGGTTAGTGAAACACAGGACTGGATTGCTGCAAATGATGCAGCAAATTCCCAGCTCTGCATCAAACCTTCAGGTTCATTCAAACCAGTCTTAAGAGCTCTCCTGGGGGCTTACGGGGTCTAAAGGATCACGTGGCTTAAAGGGATTTTTTCCCTTTAAACTCAGTTGCACAATAGACAGAAACAGTGATACTGTGATGCAATGGCTTGTCAGTGGTTGTAAAGTTAAATTCAAGGTGGAATTTCTCAGTAAATCCTGGGGTTCACTGTTCAGGCATTTATCAGAGGTTAGTTTTCTCTTTTTCTCTTCTGTTTTGATATTGTATGAGTAATTTTTGAAGCAGCGTTTGCATCATCCATTCTAGATTAATGTTGGCTGCAGTCATGGGGCAAGAGGTGGAGTCCATCTTGGGTCGGTTTCCAGCAAGAAAGATACAGTGTTACAGATAACAATTCATACGTATGTATTCGCACCTAATTGCAAACTACAATGGCCAATCAGTCACTTTAAGGCATCTTTTTGGAGACAGTGGGAGGAAGCAGAGGTAAACCCAGAAGTAAAACTGGAAAAGTATGCACCTTGAAAAACAGAAAACCCTCACTTTTGACAACTTTTCTGACCTTTAGGAACTTAAAAAAAATAAATGTAAAGAAACTCTTAACATATCTTTTTCTCTACGCTTCAAACTCCTCTCATTACAATGTGGGCGTAAATGAATCATGGCTGCGGGGAGAAAAACCTGTTGCTGAATGATGCTTTTGATGCTTCAGTCTCACACATTGCTGTTGACTAGGGTTTTTTTTCTTGAATCTTCTTGATCCATTTAAATTGTTGATGTAGACAGTTTACAAAACATAATAAAATGGCATGTTCTTGGTGAGTTAGAGGTAAAATCAAAAACAAAACCAGTGGAAAATCAAAAATGTATTATATTATATATTAATATATTTTTTCTTAAAGTATTTTTCTGTGCTTTAACTATAAAGGAAAGAAAAATACTTTACTTTTAAAGTTCTTTACTTTAACTATAAAGTAAAGAAAAAACTTATGTTACTTTTATGTCATTTTTGTAAATCTAGACTTTGATAAACACAGAGGATCATTACAGTAGTGACATTTAGAAACATTTATCTAACATGTTGACATTATTCAAATTATGTTTTGATGTCTTTTAGTGATTTCTGGGTAATTTTTGGACAGACAATACAACTTTTCTAACTGAGGACTCGGGAGCACTGATAAAATTAAAAATAGATGTGCGTTCTTGCTGTTAGGCAGAAGCATTAAAATAAAACAGTAACGCAGCACTGATGAACATTTATAATTTAGATGCAAAGATGCAATCAACACTACAGTGCCTTGACAAAAGGACGTAGAAATTTTAAAAAATTACACATCTTAGAATGAACTTCCTGTTAGCTAGCTCCTTACTTCCTGTAAGTAGGCAGTTGTTACTGACCAGTAAAGCTAACTGGTAAGTTTGAAACATCAATTAAAACTTTTACTACATTTCATATTGGCAGGAATGCACAATATTGGATTTTTGGTCAATGTCCAGTATGCTGATATACTAAAACTCACAATACTTTTTCCTTTAACTACTTACTGAAACTATATGGGTTTTTTCTGCTGTGGAATTAAAATACTGCATTGTCTTTGCTAATTTAGCCTGCTACCAAAAACAAATGCTACAAAAAGATGCAACTTTCAACTTGCATTATGTTTAATTTCAAATTTATTCAATGTGAGAAAAAAAATGATCCTCCATGAAAACGATGACAGTCAAGCAGTTCAAATTTGACGTTGCCTGAGCCGATTTGTCATATGAAAATGATGCTTTTTATATCGGGGAGTTATTTCGACGGAATGGACAATATTAAAATTTACAGCTAATATCGGCCAATACTGATACCATGCCGATAATATCGTGCATCCCTACATATTAGCATTGTTTCTGTTGGAGACCTGGAGTACCCAGAGAAAGAACTTACAGAAAAAAACCCTGTCATGTAAAATTTTATATTTTGTGATAAATGTTTCTCTCAGCGATCTTCATCTATTTAACTTTGAAAACAGGGGACTTGGTTCTTTGAAGTAGAAAAATCGTGACTGAAGAATGCTTGAATTTCAGCAGTATTTATAAAGCAAAGAAAGTTTCAAATGAGACACAGCAGGAATAAAACCTCTGCTGCTGTTCGCAGTTAGTTGCCTTGGGAAATAGGTTTCATTTGTCACACATTCTGCTGTAAAACTTTCTGTGATTGACTTTTCCTTCTGGTGACCCGCTTTGAGCTCAGCTAGGCAGAAAGGAAAAGATTATTTGTTTAAATTCTTACAAAATTGCACATTCTCTTCCAGCGTGCAGGCATTGAACAGTGGGAATATTGTATAAAACGCTGCTTTCAGATGAAATTAAAAGCAGCACAATCCAAACTTTAACTAATTTGAGCTGCTGTGGAACGGAGATAAGGCTGGTTATGTTTGTTCCTGTGAAATCAAAGACTGGAGCCAGAATAGTCTATTTTAATGTTTTCTTTTATCTCAGACTGTGCATTATTTCTTAGTATTCACGACACGGCCTAGAGCTGCACAATTTACCTAATCAATGTATCAGTCATGGTTGTCCTTTCTACAGGATATTTGAATTACTACAGACATTTAGAGTCTTGTTTTAGCAATCCAAGCAAACTACAAGCATTTAATTAATGGAGCTTCAACACTTGGAACAATGTGACACAAACAAGAACCTGCTGCAGGTTCGTTACAGGCCGCCTGATCTGACCAATTGGGACTCAGTGTTTCACCCACAAAGTTTCCGGGTAAGCAGATCAAAATGAAACCACATAACGGGAAACTAGATCATTTAAAAACATTAAAACTCAAGAAAACAAACTGAAAATTTAATACCACAAATCTTGGACCTGTTGTTTTTCTTGTAAATGTACTTTTTGTATATTTATGTTCTCAGTTGGGGTTTCTTGTCCGCCATGCGACATTTTGTTGTGGTTTATAACAAAAAATTCAAAACATTTAGATGTTCAGAAATATTTACATTCATGGTGTGAAAATCATCAAACATTAAGCTTAAAGGAGCATTTACCAGTTCTGTTATGTTAACAGCATTAGGAATAATGATCAGGTTGCTGTTTTAAATAAAAAGCTCTTGGTTTGATGTTTTCCTGCAGGTTCTCTCTCGCTGCAGGGCTTCACCCGGACTGGACGCTCATGCTGTTCTTTGTTCACACTCACCTGACTGTGACTGTAACTCTGGGGCTGCTGCTCATTCCAAAGGTAACGAGACGGTTTTACAAAACACGTCGGCTGCCGTTCTGAGTCGGGGCTCAACTCTTATATTGTCAGCGAGGCCAGATTTATACTGTGTTTTTATGCGAATTCAAACATTTTTAAGTTTTTTGGATTTGATATCTTTTCCAGTGGTGAAGCAAAACAAAAGAAAACTTTATTCAAATGTGAAGGAATTCTGTTCTGCTCTAATTGCCAAATATTGAGAGATTTATCGCTGTCAGTGCATAAAACAGGTTAAATAAATTACATGAATCATGCATTATAAAGCAACGCATAACTTCTAATTTTTTTCTTTTCCAAACTTACTTTGATTTTCATTCACTTGAATGGCCTAATAAATCTTCTAATGTGTTTTTTCTTAACTTTAGATTCATGGGGGAATATTTAAAAATGTACTAATAAGTGCAGGACTACTGATGAAGACTGTCTCTCTTTTCATGCCTGATCTTTCAATGGTTTGCAAAGCACCAACAAATGCACTCTGACAGTAACGACTTACGGATTTATACTGCAGAATTTCAACAAATGCAGCTTTTGTGCACTGATCCGATCACTTTGTAGGTTACTTTTGACAGATTTCTAAGCCAAATAAGAAAAGTCTCATTTGTATTTAAGTTGCAAAGGATCCATTTTCAAGTGTCTCACCCAGGGTTTGCCTCTGATGACCCTAAGCAAAGATGAAAGCTGCTGTTAACAGCAAAGCTGCAGCAAATACTAATGATGAGAAATATTGTTTCAGAAATGTTTCAAATAGATTTTAATGCAACTTCACCATCTGTAAAATAAGTTAATGTGGTATTCGGCGTGCATCACTGTACATAGTTATGTGATTTTCTAGGACAGTGGATTTGATTTTGAGAAAACAAACAAACATGTAAATAAAGCGGCAACAAGAAAATAAAAAATGGATGTGCTCTAAAGATGCTTGTGCTTCATGTGATCTCAGCAGAGGCATGAGTGTGGAAGTTTTGTAGATTTATTTCAATTAAATAGTAATTGTAAAATTAGTGCAAATTAGTAGCTGTAAAACCTTCTTTTCCACACGAGAACACAATACATTTTTTTTCTCTTTGTGTTTGTTTTTCATAAATAAAACATAGTGAAACCCTGCTCTCAAGTTGCATAACAGCCTGCTCATAAACTAATAACATTGGACTGAGAAAATGTTGCCACTGTATTGGAGGATGGACGGCGTTCAGATCTCCATCCATGAGGCTGTTCCATCAACGGGCCGTAAATATCCATTTACGGCACTTTATTCGTCAGCCTAAGTCCATTTGATATGAGCAAGACGCGGTGCTCAAATCCGCACTGGCTCATTTACTATCATTACCTTAAACTCAATCAGACTGTTTAAGTGGTTATTGTAATTTAGCCGAGTACTCCTGTGGGTGTCTTTAGGGCTGATGGGAAACGTTTCTTTCCCCTGCTGCGTGAGAAATGCTCTCCCTGTTTTTTTATACTTTCTTAATTAGGCTCTTCAGAAGCGCAACCCAGTTGAGCACACTGGGATAATTGAGCGCAATGGGAGGACATTAATTTCACAGAACATCTGTTCATGAAGCCCGACTAAATATGTGGACATCCTCTCTGGCCCCCGTATGTGTGATTCAAACAAAGGTGGAAATTGAATAGCTGTTGGTTGTGATGTCGTTTATTTTTCTACATAAATTTGATTGTCTTGTCAACAGTTTGGGGGGGAAAAAAAGCCTGAACAAACGCTACAGAGTGGGGCTTTTAACAAGAAATCAACATCTCTCTCTGTCTTATCAATCCTTTATGTTAAGAATTGCTTCATATTTTATTATTAATAAATACATTACGTAAAACATTTGAACATTTCTTTTGTTTTAAAGTTTTTATCTTTGTTTTTTGGTCCAGTTGTTGCTCAGTTGTTTTAGTTTTTTACCACTTTCCAAATTCTCTGGAAAGTTAGTCCCACTGAAAATGAATCGTATTTTATTTAATTTGTTTATTACCCGTACAGTTTGTTTGATCTTGCTCAAAGGCAGCAAGTCAAATTGAGACACATATTCATCCTTCCTGCTGTTTCTCGAAAACCTCGCGTCGTCTGCGGTTGGATTTGACCTCAAGCAGTAAAAAAACATAGTTGTGTTGTATTTATCGACTGAAAAATTAATCAGTTCAAATATTAAATAAACAAACACCAACATCAGTGTGCATTTTTCACACCCTGCTGTTCATATTCTCTCGGGGCGAGAAAAGTAATTTGCTGAGGATTAGCAATAACAGCCCTGCAAAAACCTATGAAAAAAAATGAAACAGTTTTATTGCCCAATCATTACAATAAGATTTATATAAAGTTATGACACATATTAAATCCTTTATTAATGTTTTTAGATGTATCAGAATAAGAAAATGAACAGGAAGAAGGTAAGGTTAAAAGTGCAATGTTCCTCCAGTCCCACAGATATAACTTAGAGACCAGGAAAGCATTAAATAGAAGATAAAACTGAGTAAACAGACATATTTTCTAATGCACCTCCATTTATTATGAGACCAGATTTTGTATATCTGTGCAGAAAAGGACATACTGCACGCCGCCTAGCAGCAAACTCTCGCCATTCGGTTCAGTGAAGTAACTCCTGCATGCAGCGCATTTGTATGACCCCACTGAGACTGGACCAAGTCCTTCTCCACTTCTAATCCATCAAAACAGAAGAAAAGTATTTACATGCCAGATTGTATTAGTAAATGAAACCTAGGTTTTATGTTGATTTGACGTGTTCAGTGCTGTCCCTAATGACCAGTCGCTACTGATCAAGATTCTGCTAATCAATCACTTTGTCAGTCGTGGTGCTTTCAGGGTATCCTTGCGTTTTGGATTCTGATGACTGTCACTGATACCTGCGTACTTAGTGTCATTTCCCTTAATCTCTTTATTTCTCTCTCTGGCTTACTGCTTTTCCCTGCAGCTGCAGGCTGTTATCAGCTTCTCTCCTGTTTAGCATTTGAGCAATCGGCCCTCCCTGCTATTTAAGCCTCTCTATTGAGCCATTCCCTCGCCAGATCCTTCCTTGTCAGACCTATTGTTGCTCCTGCTGTCCTGCTGTCTTGTGGTCTAAATTCGCTTTGTGCTTCATGTCTTGCCTGGTATTGAATTAGTTTGGCTCTTTGTTGCTTTTGTTTGATCATTCTTGTTTCTTGGCACTTAGTTTATGAAAATAAAGCTTTCGGTGATTCTTGTATTTGGGTCCTCCTATACATTAATGAGAAACTCTTGACTTTTGTGGCTGAAGGGTTTTGAGGTACAACATGTTTTTCTGGTTTATCGCTGATGGTTCAGCATTTCATTCTTCGCTTTTCTTTCTTCGCTCAGTCTGGATCTCTGTGTCTGACCTCCTGGGTCAGATCCTGGCTGATAGTGACTCATTCTCATCTTATCGGTGCTTGGAGTTGTTCAGCCACCTGCTTTGTGAGTGGCTCTCGCTGGGGTTTTAATCTTTGAGCCTCTTTGTTATCTCTTTGGCTGCATTACGCGATGCTCAATAATGCTTGAAATCCAGAGATCCTCACCAGATTGTGTCTGGGCTGTCGGAAGAAGTTCCTCCTGGAGGACATTTTCAATCTATTCTGTATTCATGCGTGCTTTTTGCCAGCGCCACTGGAGGATGCACAGCCTAGGATGAAAATCAACCTCACAGATAGGCTGTGTCAGGATCCCACAGCGTCAGCCAATCTGATGGTAGATGTCGCCTTTACTTCTCCACATTCCAAACATTCAGAAAGAAGATATACATTTATCACCAGCTTACCATTGTCTGGTTTTTTTTCTTGCTAGATTATTATTATTTTTAGGACAGAATTGCTTTCAGTAGAGGTGGTTCAATTACAAATGGGCACGAAAAAATAGAAAAAATCTAATTTTGCAGTTGCATTGTGTCCATTGAATAAGAAAGGCAATTAAAATTACATGTGAATATGTTTGTTCACGTAATAAATCATTGAAAAAAACATGTCGCACCATGATTTACCAACTATTTCCTATTGTTGTGGTTTTCTTTGTGGTTTCTACCAGTAGTAAAACCTAGTTCTGACTTGTGTGTTACAAAAAAAAGTTTTTCGATTGCAGTTTTGTGAAACAAACCAATTTTACTACGGTGTGCAAAGCCGCAACAAATATCGTCAGCTTTTTATCAAAAAACGTTTTTCCATTAAACAACTTTATTTTCAAAATGTCAAACTGAGCAGTTATATGGTCAACAGGAACGCAGCTTTTGCTACCTTTCCAGTCACAAAGCCATTGTTCAAAAGTCCTCGACATAATATGTGTTTAGTAGGGCTCATGCTCACTTCCAGTCAAAGCTTTTGAGCGCTCCTCTAGCTTGCTGGGATGATATGAACGTCCTGAAGTTATTGATGATGTATACATTTATTCTTAGGTTTTCTTACACAGGAGGCCCAATTGTTTTCCAAAGGTAATTCTACATTGTTCTAATGTCCTTAGCATCTACTTTTTAGACTCCTTTTCTTCCAAACCACAAAAGGAATTAGACAATAGGAAACTTACTTATACTTATCTACCAACCTGAATAGGAGTATCTGGTTTATTTACTTTGGATAAACATCATTAGCTTTTTTTCTTTTGCTCTTTTCTTTGATTTGTTATTTTGTTTGTATTTCCTTTTAAATCCTGTAAAGCGCTTTGCATTGCTTTGTCACTGAAAATACATAAATAAAATGACCTTTACCTTCTGCAGTGGTATCCATTGCTAACAAATGACAAGAAGTCTCAAAGTGACAGTGATTTCAGCTGGTTCATTCTTTGCTTCTAACTGCAGTGTAACAAACAAAGAAGTCCTTGAGCAAAATATACATCTGCTCAGTCTGCATATTATTCTAAACTAATGGGAAAGTTGGGGGCGGTGCACGGTTATTGCACTGTGGACTCAGTCTTCACACTTTGTTTCCATCTGGTCCAGTTCCTGACCAAAGGCACTCAGGCCCGAGACGATATCGCCACTGAGGCCTACGAAGAGGAGCTGGACATGGGAAGATCCGGCTCTTACCTGAACAGCAGCATCACGTCCGCCTGGAGCGAGCACAGCTTGGACCCAGAGGACATACGGGTGGCGCAGCTTTTAAAATCCTGACCAGAAATGAAACATGATTTTCAATGCTTTAAAAAAAAAGTGCTTTTCATTAAGTACTGGTTTTCATTCAGAAGTCGTTTTTTAAACCTGCATCTAATTGTATAGGTGGATAAGTGTAACAGGACATTAATGCAATTCTCATACAGGAAGAGCTGAAGAAGCTGTACGCCCAGCTGGAGGTCCACAAAAGGAAGAAGATGCTCGCCAACAACCCTCACCTTCAAAAGAAGCGCAACTCAAAGAAAGGCCTGGGTCGCACCCTGATGAAGCGGATAACAGAGATCCCAGAGACCATGCACTTACACCGCCAGTGCAGCCGAGACGACGGCAGTGAACATGGCAGCAACCGGGGCACCCTGAGGAGAAACCAGCTGGAGGCGAGCCATCAAGGTACGTTCACAGCTTCGAATCAGCGGCAGGATGGAGGAAATGAAACCTGGTTTTCAATTAATGTTGTCTTTAAACTTGATTTTAGCTTCACATCTGTCAGGAAAGAAGACCAAAAAAATATACTAAATGCTCTTTAAATTCTTTGAGTTATGTTCAGTAATCTTCTGGAAAGGAAACACCATTTTCTGGAAACTTCTCAAACCTTAAAGTTGAGCATTTCTAGTCAGTTTACACACAGTCATCATCAGCATGAATGTCGTATTAATAAATAAACAGTTCTTACTGACTTCAACATTCAATGATTTTTATTAAGCTAGTTTTCATCTGAGTTATTTTCGTTTTTAGAACATTAGTCATTGTTTCATAGTTTCAACCATCGTCTCTCCACACTGTCGCCTTCAGATGTCAGGAAGTTGATCAGGTTCAGGAAGAAGCAAAGAACCACAAAAGCTCACTGGAGATCATTAACTGGAGGATGCTGGGATACCAGTGTTACTGTCCGGAGGGAAGCTAGAAGGAACGAAGTCCCTGCTGCAAACTTTACACGTTAAAACATAAAAGAAACGTAAACCTGCCAATATGAACAAACTTTATGGTTGAATGTTTTATGGCCAGAGAGCAAATTAAGCTCTCTGGAAAGTGTTGGTAGCGTCACGCTAAGAGTTTATTTTATCACAACTTAACTTATGTTGGTGAATTGCACAAAATGGATGATATAAAGTAGAACTACCTTCAGTTTCTTCAACATAATTTAATCAACACTTAGGTCAGCAGGAACAAACACACTTGGCTTAAATTGAGTCGGTTAAAGTGAAAGCTTCTGGAATATTCCTGGAAACTGTATGAACTATGATTAAAAGTCACCCATTTGGCTCAAAACCAAACATGTTAACTAACCTCTATCATTTCTGATAAGATTGGTTAAATTTCCAAAAGCTAAATTAATATATTCTGCACACATTGAGCGACGACCTGGTAAAACTGGATACTGATAAATGACAGCATAAAAATCTGAATATCACATAGTTTATGCTTTCTGTTTTGTGCATGTATTACACGGATCCTTACAATGATGAGGGAAGAGGGGTCTTTGTCTGCAACAAAGGAAAATAATGACAGACAGGGAGTCTAACCACCTATGAAGAACGAAAGGTTAAAAAATGTATTTGACATCAAAGAATGTGACTTTTTACGCTACTTTTCTTCAGGAAAACTTCAAGACGATTCCCTGAAGAACAAACTCACCGGTCTGACAAAGTCGCTCAGCTTTGACCATGTTTGTGAGCAGGATGCAGAAACAGCGAGCCAAACCGGCTCGGTTCCAGGAGATAAAATGACCCCCGTCGGAAGCAGCGGGGACGGCTCTCTCCTGGGTTCCCTCATCGGCCGCAGACACACCAAGAAGCAGCTGGAACCGGCCAGCACTCTGCCGAGGCTGGAGCCGGCCGAGTCCACAGAGTCCCTCACGCTCTTTTGGAAGTCGGCCAGCGCCCACAACCTCACTCACGAGAAGAAACCCATCCACCTGCGGACCTCCATCATGCAGAAGTCCCTGAGCGTCATTACGAGCGCCAAGGAGAAGATGCCGGGACTTTCCAGCAAGACGCAAAGTGTGGAAGACGCCAGTAAGAAGGGCCAGAAGGGGCCAGAGGAGAGGACTCTGTCAGAAGTGGATGAGACGCCCGAACATTTCCCCAAAATGATCATCAGCCAATCGGTGGAGTACTCAAAGACTCCCATGAAGATGGGAATCATGAAGCAACAGGTAAATCTGTGCATGTGTGCAGGTAATTGATACATGTTGAACTGGGCCACGTTTTGTCAGAAAGCTCAGCACATTTCATTTGAACTTTCTGTGATAGTCCTCCTTTCTATCTGTCTGCTTTGTTTGGCTGTGAAAAGAATAAATAGGTCACTACATGAATTTAGCTCTAATTCATGATCTCTTCAAGATAATAGTTGTGTATTTGAATATTACCTTAATATTAAAGTCAAATAATTTTTTCTTTGTATGCTACCACACTACAAGGGGAAAATAATTTAAGTATTTCATATGAAGAGGTAGTCATTGAGTGCAGAGAAAGTATTAAGCAAGAAGGAAATATGGTTTTTTAACAGCTACTTTTATCAATGAATTCTTCCACAGTCGCCCCCTTGTGGACATTCATGATCTTGATGTGGTCCGGAATAAAAATTAGTTTGACATCTTTGAAAGATTTATTTATTTATTTGGCCCCCAAGTCCTTTTGACCTGATGATTTTGGCCCATGTGACAAAAAGTCTGTACGTCCCTGTTTCAGAGCCCTACATTACCACTGAGATTTTCCTGACGGCTACATGGGGACGACTTTTTCTCAAAGGGTATCACTTCTAAAAGATGTGGGTTTGATTCCAGTGTCCAGTGTTGCACTCTAGGCAAGGCACTTAACCCTCAGTTCCCTTGACTTGTGTATTAGTATATAAATGTGTGTGAGTTTGGGTCCAATTGAATAAATGTGGCTCTATAAAGTGCTTTGAATGGTCAGTATTACTTCAGAAGCACTTTAGTCAAGTCATTTTATTTCTGCAGCACATTTCAGAAACAAGACAGTTCAAAGTGTGTTACGTAATAAAAATAATCACAAGTTGTGAAATAGGTAATAAACATTATATTCTGTCAAAAATGATCAAAATCATCAATACACCAATCCCCAAACTGAACTCGAGCCCTGAGCTCAGCAGTTTAAGAAACCGATCTCACTGTTTCCTCATCTTTGATTGCTTGTTTTTCAGGTGAGCGGCAGCCAGCCGTCCATTTGCTCTGAGACAGGAAGGAGTCTGTACGACGTGTCTGAGGTTTGTCCCTGGGAGCTGGATGAGGCCCAGACTCCTTCCGAAGCAAAGACCCAGAAGCACGTGTCCATCGCTCCGGTAGAACCACCCGCGGGCCGCAGAGGCAGCAGCAGCAGTTCGGGGACGGCTAAAGTCAGCCGGTCTCAGCAGAGACAGAAACCCGGGCAGTCTCCGTCCAACAGACGGCGCTCCAAGGATAAAGGAGGAGAAAGAGAGGACGGAAGGGAAGCGAGGAAGTCCCGGCCGCCCAAATCACCTCTTCCTCTCAAGCCAGAAGTGAGCCCCTGGGAGTTCAACGAACAGCCCATGGTGGGAGGAGATTTGGACTCTATCTCTCCGGACAGGATCAGGAGGAAGAAAAGTGTCACCCCCACTGATGGGAAACCCAAAGGGCTCCATTCGGACCACTCCAAGTCCACAGGGAGCCTCCTCCAACCCCCGTCTCTGATGGTAGAAATTTCCCCATGGGATTACGGAGGGCCACCTTCCCCCAAGCAGGAGAAGACCTGCAACAGTCCCACCACACACAAGAAGAAACGGAAGGGCTCCTCCTCGTCGAACCACAAATCTGACAAGGACCGAGCGAGGGAGAAGAGCAGAGAGAGGCGGAGCTCGTCCAGCAAGCCGCCGTCGGAGAGGAGACGGGTCAGCCAGTCGTCGGAGGGCGGGGGGCCGATGGAGCGGCGGAGGAGCTCGACCAGAGACGCCGAGGTTTTCTCCCGTGATGCCGAGCACTCGCACGCGCATGGCAGCCTGGCTCAGACTAAAAAATCCCCCGAAAAGAAGAAGGAGAAGTCTTTGCGCAGTAGTTACAAACCCGCAGTTCTAAGTGGCGCAAAAATGGTTGACGTTTGTCCCTGGGACTTCCCAGAGAAGGAGTCGGGGGAGAGGGCATGATGACTGCTGGCACGACTTGATCTTTTTGTACTGGCTGACTGAGAGCTCGCAGGACAAAGGGATGCTAAAAATATCCCAGAGTATTTGGTAAAAGGTTTTTCTTTTCCCCCTTCATGTTGGCTTAGTGAAGAGGGTTATGGGAGCCCTTTCCATAACGCAGCTCTGAATGCAACCGTGTCGCTTTCAAGAGGTCATTTGTTTTCTCTGCACACCTGCTTGCACATCTGTGAGAGTTTGTATGTTTTATCACCTTTAAATACACCTTGAAGAGTTTGTAAATGATTCACGCCTGCACTGGCGAGCCCAGCAGACGAAGCCGCCTGTGTGTTCTCTGCATGGTGAAGACGCACGAGGAACAAAATGACAAACTTCAGAAGAACGGAGAGCATGGGCTCAGATGCGCTGAGACGCAGGAGAAAAGCAGCTTGTATTTGGGCTGAATGCACAGTTAATGTCATGAAGACGACCTGTTGGATCAACCAGTTGTGGGGATAACAAAGGTTTGCAGCAGAGCTAAATGAGGGAAGCTGTGTCTTTTGGCAAAGGTTCTCCATTGACAGTGCCTTGCAAAAGTAGTCATATCCCTTAATACCTTTTCACCATTTTTCAGGTTATTACGGAAACTGACGCGTTTGTATTAGCCCTTCTATTGTCAGTGTGCTTGTGCATCTTTAAAAAGTTTTAAATTCAAGCCTTAAATTAAGGTCTTAAAATGTCTTAAATTTATTTAAAAAGTAAGTTGGTCTTAAATATATTAATCACTGCTTTTTTTTAGACTTTTCTGCCAGGCAAAAGTTCGAGTCACACTCAGACATTTTCATTGCCCTCTGTGACTCTAGATAGTTGAGGCTATACCGCTAACTAGCAGCTAACATAACTCTTTCTAGCTAGCAAGCCATCTTGCATTTATCCTGGAAAATGCAAATTTATTGGTTGTTGGCTGAACAGAGTTGAAACATTTCTGTGAGTATATGGGTCTTAAATCCCGTTCTAAATAGCCTTAAGTTGTTGAAACCATCTGACACCGAGGTTTATTCTCATAAACCTAAATGAAAAACTGTCAGCTTTTGTCCAGAAATCAGCCTATTTCTATCTACAGTAAGCACTAGATAGAAACAGGCTGAATATGTAGCAAAATATATAGAATAAATAAAAAGCTGTCAGTGTTTCAACCATTCGTTTCCCTTCCATGCTAAAAACACGACTTACTCTGTCAGGTGGTGCTGCAAAGGCTTTGGTGCGTCTCCAACTCCACACCGACCTTCTGCTGCACATCTGTACCACTGGTGCAACCACTCAATAAAGAGAGATTGTTACAAAACGCCTTCAACAGTTTGTCCTGATTGACGCTCAGCGGCGAGCGTGAATATCCCACCAGCCTCGAGTTAGATAGCCAGATAAGTTTATGACAACATCTGAAAACGATCAAAGGGGAATGATTACTTTTGCAAAGCGCTGTGTATTATCATTTTAAATTTTATTTATTTATTCATGTTTACAAAAACCATCGCATGTGGTAAAACTATCCAACATCAAATAACTAAATGTCTACTGGTGAACTTGTTCTCAAATATGACAGTGGGAGTTTTGATGTTGTTGCGTCCGGTGTTTGTCCACTTGCAAAGCACTCGATGCTTTTTGAAATGGCGTGCGCTGCTGCGTCAGAGTCAGCATTTCATACGGCATGCTGTTTACCTTTCAGCAGTGCTGAGGTTGGTATTTATTTGGTGTTTACTCTACTCTTCTGGCTGGCGTCTCATGTTTTTATACGGATAAGGAGACGCTCTATCATTGGCTGCAGTTTCCTTGTTTGTTTTGGGTTTTTTCTACACGTGCAGTGAAAAACGAAAGGACCAAATCTTAATCTGCCTATCGCAGATGTTGTGAATAATACATCTCATCTCTTCTTTGGCCCATTTCTTCTGCCTGGATGCACCTCTCTTCAAAACTGCGCACATATTCAGTCGCCAAGACTGAATGTCTCTGACAGAGAGAGTAATTAATCATTTTGGCATCGTCTCCAACGTAAACAACAACAGTCAGCCTGTCCGTCCTGCCATCAGACACCCACCACTGACAACTCATGTGTCAAACATGGCACTCAGCTCAGCTTCAGGACGGTTGTGTGTGCATGACAGTGAGAACATGACCCCATAACTTCCCCGCAAGCATAAAATAATCATTGCATATCTTATAAAATACTTAAAAGGACACTTTCAAGCACATTTATTTCAATTTTGGCTGTATTTATCAAGCACTTTGATGTGTAACATGAACGGCTTCATAGTCAGAGGCCTTGTTTTTGTAACGGAATGCCATTGTTTGCCCACTACACGTTGTTTAATGCTTGTTTATGCAGTGTGTTGCCGCTCCAGCAGCTTAAAACAAATGGTTGTGCCATCCACATGCGGATACTTGTACAGTGTATTCTTATTGTGTTGCATGTAAATAAAGTAAATAATGTTCTCAATTTCAAATTAAACATTTCTAGAAAAGCCAACTTGCAGCGACTCCCGGTTCTTTGCAGGACTGCAACAGTGAAACATCTGGAGTTCGCCGTTGTTTGGATGCGACTTCCTCCATCACAAACCCAAAACTAAAACGACTGTCGCTCGCCATAGAGTTACAAATATGTATATTAGTGCAAAACTACAATTTCTGGTGTTTGTCCATGCTCAAACTGCTTCTGCAAGTAAAATTGTTTCATATAAATTCTGATAAATCGACTAAATTGGAATTGTTATTACAACACTGCCACCGCGTGGCGGAACAGGTTTATTGCACGTTGTTTACTCTCCAGTTCCCTCTTGCCAAAATTGCAAGTCCATTGAATACTCATCTTTATGATGTTGTAAGTTAAAAGTCGGAAATGTTATCATTTGCTTAAAGGGACAGAACTCTACTGTGAACATGATGGGGCAAAGATAAATGTGGTGATCACATTGATTTACCAGGTTCTTTTTAAACATGTTGATTATGAAGTAAAGGTGGTGTTTGCACGTTTGTAAAAATGTATTTAAATAATTCGGTTAAAAAAAAAGGAAAGCTAATTTTTTTTAGGCGCAAAAAGTGATAGGCCTATGTTTCAAGCAGCAAGACAGAGTAGCAGAAAAAGCAGCAAAATGTTTTACTGCCCTTGACTTGAGAGGCAGCCATATTGGTGCGTGAAGTCCGCCTTGTAAGTTGGAGCGTTCCAGTTGATTTTTCTGACTTGGAAGGCAGAATGTCCCGGTTCCGAGTGCAAGTGGAACTGGGAAACTCAACATACCGGGCGAGGTGGAGCTGGACAAAGAATCTGAGCTCATTAAAAGCTAAAGAGGAAGAGCTGGGGCTGAATGCAACTGATTAGTTAACATAAAATAAGGATTTAAATTTACCGTAAATCTAGCGGGACAAAAAAATATTACAAATTTAAGATAACTAAAACCCAGACAGACAAGAGCAAAATAAGATTATGACGTCCACACTCCAGTCCGATAGGTGGCGGTGCACCTTAGGTTGGTTGCCAACCGTCAATAGAAGCCAAAAGAAGAAGAAACACAAGAATAAAGTGAACATAAGTAAAAACCCAGCAAATTACCAGAATAGTGCCACAGCAGAAAAGCGAGACCCAAACTCCAGAGGATCGTGACAGTGTTCGTTTTTAAAAGGATTGCTAACACAGACATGTCATGTCCGCCACGCTCTGGCCTGAAGCAATTATGGTGAAAAGTGCCGACTTCACATTTTGTCACAGTCACTGTTTCTCTGTGCAGGCAGCTTAAGTCACAGAGAACGCTGAACACAAGCATACTAACGGGGGAATGAAAACGTTGCAAAGATAACACGAAGGAAAAGACAACTGAAGAGTTTGGGGGAGATTCCCCAAGGCCTGGACTGTAATCCAGGACAGGAGCTGCAGCTGCTTCATTCCTCGCAGGAAACCAGGCCTGAACAAGACAACGCCGCCCTGCTGCACCTGGACGCACAGAGCTCCTGTCAGAGTGAAGGACAGGATGACATCAGTCACTATGGACAGCTTCCAGGAATGAGGCCTTCCTCACCTTGTGGAGAGACCCACAATTAGATAAAGAGGGCTGCAAAAATGGCTCCCTCTAGTGGTATGATGCTGTTTTACTGGTTAGAAGAAAAAAAAACGACTGCAAAAACAGAGGTGGGTAGAGTTGTTCAGGAAATTACTTCAGTAAAAGTGAATGCTGCTACCGCTCTGATTTAGTTTGTGGAACCGAGACAGACAGAGAAAATATAAAATGATGTGAAGGTACTGGTACTTTAGTAAGATTTAAAAATATATATAGTAACGAGGCACCTTTAATAAAAAGTAGTTTGTGTAACTGCCTCTCCAATCTACACAAAAAGGGACAGAGATGAAAATAAAGAAAAATGAAACAGAGAAACTAATCCAAACTTTGTTGTATTATATAATAATTAGTTGTCTAATGACAGGACGCGTCATCAAATCTCCAGTATGTCCAGTTTCCTTTAATCTCCAGCTGATTTTGGTTGAACTTACAGCTGAAGACATTTAAAAAAATCTATTCATTCATATGGCACATTTAGCAACAAGTTCAAAGTGCTTTACATCGTGAAAACAAAAAAAAAATAATAATCAGATGTCATGAGAACACCACATCAAGTTAAGCACAATAATCAAAACCATCACAACACATGTTGGTCCACATTCATCACGGTCCAAAAGAAATTTAGCCTTGCAGATTTAACACAGTCTGCATGTGTTAGATGGGCCTCTATTCCAGAAGAGCCGATCCAAAAGATTATATGACCTCTTCTATGACTGTTTGACCTTCTTCTGCAGAAGCCTGTTAATCACCCACAGATTGAATCCAGGTGTGTGGCAGAAGGGAAACACCTAAAACATGGAGGCCATGGGTTCCGAGGACCGGACTGAGAAACACTGATTTAAAGGAACTCCAAACATTAGCATCATAACAAACCAGGCAAGAAGTAGGACGTATTGAAATTCCAACTTAAAAGCTCACATGAGTTGGTGATAAAGCAGTTTGACTGTCTGCAGCTCCATAAATTCCCCTTCTTGCTGCTGGAATCTGGTTGCTTTTCCAATGTTTCATCCATATTGACTCGGATGTCCGAGAACTAGAAGAAAAAAAAACTGGAATTTTCTCTTCTATCATTAGAGCATCATTAGAATATTGAGTGTTGTGACTTTAACGTAGCTCCATAGAGGTGACGCCATCCTTGAGCCAGCCGGCTCCACCGCCCCCATCCGGCCCGGCCCGGTCCGGTCCGGTCCTGCCCATCCCATCCCATCCGGACTGCAGCTCAACGCCACGCGTGACACATCACACGGCTCACAGCAGCGACACATCAGGACGCAAAGCAGCCAGTTTCCCCCAAACCCAACGAGCCGCTTCACAGCAGGGATCCGTGCGCACAACATGGGCAACGTGCAGGTAGTAATTATATTTTATTTGTTTGTTTGTTTGTTTGTTTTTATCCCCCCCAACTTGTTCTGCTAATTCACGCACCTCTGAGTTAGAATCCACTTAACGCGACTACTTTGAGGAGTAACAGTTTTATTTTATTTTTTTTAATAGTTTGTTTAGAAAATTGATTTCTGATCAGTTTTACGAATAAAAATACAAATCAGAAAACTAAATTTCACAACAACAAAAAAGAAAAAAGAAAACAACTGGGCTTTTGTCGTTTCCTCCAGACAACTAGACTCAGTGGAAACAGCATGAAACGCAAGTGGCGCAGTGAATAGGGAGTGTGCTCTGCCTGAGGGAATTTCAGATCAATACGGAAGAGGAGAGCAGAGGGAGAGGCTGCTGCTGCTGCTGCAGCTGTAGCTGCAGCCGCTGGTGCTGCTGCTGCTGTTGGCCCATGACTCAGCACAGGCAGCAGCACCCTGCTCTCGCGGGAGAGACTACTTCCTGGATGCAACACCAGAACAAATCTTCTGCAGCGTCTCCTTTTAATTGTAGTCATTTTGTGGTTCTTCTTTGCAAATAAATATTTCAATAATCTGTGTGTCTTCTCCCCTCAGCCCACCGTTGTCCCATTTGAGGACTTTGACGTTACGGCTGACATCAAAGACATTAGAAAAGCATGTAAAGGTTTAGGTGAGTGCACTGAAGCCAAAACAAACAAACAAAAATCTTTAGGAAGATTGTTAGAAAAGCCTTTTAAAACTGGAGCATACCTGAAGGGGCGGTGCTATAAAAAACAACTTTTTATTTATTGCTTTATATCATGTTGTGTTTTTGTTTCCTCATCAAAAAGAAGCAGTGTTGCTTTGACTCTTTCGTGCATGTTTGAGACATCCATTCATCTCCCCTGGACGCAGAGGACGAATGGCGGAACCAAGCGCTGCCTTCCTCACTCAGCTCCTTCAGACTAGCTGGCAGCAATTAGCAAACACCTGGTGGAAATGAGCATCTGCTGAGCTCGTTATAGGAGCTACTTCTCAGTGAAACACTGGTAAAAACGATTAACATAGGAAGGTTGCTGTGACAACTTCCTGAAGGTGGAGCGTCAGAGCAGGAGCTTCTTAAAGAGACAAAAACCTGAAGTCACGTTTGATATTCACAATTTTTTTTTTTTTAAATGACAACATAGTCTCTTGTTTGTGCTACAAAATAGCACGTTGTGCATGGAAATTCCAAAAGAGCCTAAAGTGTGTTTAGTTGGGTGGGAGATGCTCTAGTTTCTAAATTCTGTGTTGCTTCATGTTTTCCAGGCACAGATGAGGAAGCAATCATCCAGATCCTGGCCAACCGCTCTGCAGCTCAGCGTCTGGCGATCAAACAGGCCTACTTTGAAAAGTATGATGACGTGAGTTCCCCGCCCTCCTCTGGTCTCTGCTGTGTGTGTGTGTGTGTGTGTGTGTGTGTGTGTGTGTGTGTGTGTGTGTCCTCTGTTCCAAACTGAGCTGTGTTGTCTGTCAGGAGCTGGAGGAGGTGCTGAAGAAGGAGCTCACCGGTAGCTTTGAAAATGCCATCGTGGCCATGTTGGATGCGCCGCAGGTGTTCTTCGCCAAGGAGCTCAGGAAGGCGATGAAGGGGGCGGGAACAGACGAGGCTGTCCTGGTGGAGATCCTGTGCACGGCTACGAACCAGGTGGGCAGCGAGTTGGGTTGGTGGTGTTGAATAAAAGGAGGAGTGTGTTGTGTTTGAGCTTTTGTCCTATTTTGAACAAAAAAAAACAGAACTGAGATTTGGTGTTTTCACTCTGTGTTGGTGTCGACTTTCACTCGTCTTGGTTTGTCCCACAGGACATCATGAGCTACAAGGAGGCGTACGTCCAGGGTAGGTTTTCAATCTACCCACCAGATTTTGTTTTCTGTTCGTTCTGAAAAATGCAGCCAGGAAGAACCTTATCACATTTCGTCGGGTTACGACAATTGTTACAAAGCAAATGAATGAATAAATAAATTCTGCTGGAAGGCGAACTTCTGCCCAAGTCTTTTGGCAGCGTGCGTTTGTCTGGTTTCCTGAGTGTTTGTCGTCTCCTTCCAGTGAACGAGCGTGACCTGGAGGTGGACATAGAGGGCGATACCAGCGGAGACGTCAGGAACCTGCTGATCTCACTGCTGCAGGTACAAAAACCAGCCATTGTTGGGGTGTCGGTTATCGAACGAAAGCGCTCCTTCCGGCCCCGCCGCCTGAGTCCGGAAGGAGAGTCCAGTCCAGACGGGAGAAGAACGCTGCTTGTGTTCTCTCTCCCTCAGATTGTTTCTCAGAGTCGCTGTCGGTGCCTCGGCTCGCCCACTGCCACATTCGTCACATAGCTTGGCACGCTTGGGCCCCCATGCCCTCTCGGACTCGGCTTCCTCTCTTTTTCCTTCCTTCCCCCGGGTAAATAAGAAGGGAAAAAAAGGACAAACAGAGAGAGTGACTCATGTTTTACAGCAGTGCCGTTCTGGGGAACTTCAGTGGCCTTCAACCGTTTCCTATTTATGAACTCCAGATGACTGCTACCCCATTAAACGCCTGGTGTTGTTTTTGTCGTCCACTCTCTTTAAGTTGCCCCTAACTCTCTCTCTCTATTTCTCTCTCCACCCATCTTTCTGATCCTCTTCCCTCTCTTTGCTTCCTTCGCAGGCGAGCAGAGACGAGGGCTACGAGGTGGACGAGGATTTGGCCGAACAGGACGCCGTGTCTCTGTTTGAGGTGTCCAGGACAGGCTTTTCTTTACGATACATTCACCTCAGGAGAAACACATTAGTGGCGTGGAAAGAAATGGCTCACAGTTTCAAAAGTTCCTTTCGAACACAGAATCAGAAAAGCAAAAGGCATTCATTCAGATTTAGGCCCCCTCTACCATAACGCACCCGAATACAATCCGGTTCCACCAACTGCTTCCAGAAGTCATCGACCCGGTAGATGTCGGTGTAATTTGATCTCAGAGTAAATACTAACATTCTGGAAGGTTCGGATGATAATATAAAAGTGAACAAACAGTATTGAGCGACGTGGAACGCCCTAAGTAGAAATTTGAGGAGATTCTTGAAGCAGGTTTAGGTTATTTAAAAAGTAGAGGCTCTTCATCTGATCCCGCAAAGCTTTAAGTGTCTTGCAAGGAGAAATGGTCAGAAAATCTGAGACCTTAGGTCATCAAAGCCGCACTGCAAAACAAAACCACAAAACGTCGCCATGTATTTTTGGTCTGGTTTCAAGTTCAAATATTTTGGTTTTTCGTGAAATGGGACAAAAACAATCTGAATGTAAGTTTTCAGCAAGAAATGGCAGCTTGTTTTAATTCCTTAATGCTGATGAAAAATTATGAGTCCTGCTGACAGATTATTTAACTTACAACATGGGGAAAATTGTCTTGGTGCAGTTAGGGTTAGCCTGAACCCTAACCCTACCTTACCGGAAAAAATCTCCCAGTGGAAATGGGAGGTTTTTAATCAGCATCAAGGAATTGGCTGCAAACAATAATCTGCTGAAATGTTACTTGTAGGGTAATTTTGTCTTATTTCAAGTATTTGCACTAGAAACTAGTTCGCAAATACTTACTTTAAAAAGATTTTATCATTTTCCTTTTTTTGATATAAACTCATCCCCTCTTCCTTAGTCATCAAAGAACTTACAACCGAACTCCTAAACCTATAATGTCTTCATTTCTCTATCACCTGGCCGAGATATCAACTGTCTTCTCAACCGCTTAATGAGCAAACGACAGTCCGAGAGAGACATCTAATACAACTGCAAACATGTTGGCGTATTGTTTTCATTTTGTGTACACAACAGGCAGGTGAGGGCAGGTTTGGTACGGACGAGTCGACCTTCACCTACATCCTGACACACAGGAACTACATGCAGCTTCAGGCCACCTTTAAGGCCTACGAGTCCGTACGTACCGCACCGTGGCAAACCTCCTCCAAAATGAATCCCTTTGCTTCTTTTCATTAATTTCACACACGTTTATGCTGCCTTGTTCGCACGCAGCTGTCGGGGACAGACATCTTGGACACGATTGACGCCGAGGTGACGGGAACCCTCAAGGATTGCTACGTTACTCTTGGTGAGCAGAAAGTTTTTATCACTTTTTTTGATTTTGGACCGTTTCCCGCTGATTTCATGTTTGTGTTTGGATTGACAGTGAGGTGTGCTAAGAACCCACAGCTGTATTTTGCTCGCCGTCTTAATGCTGCAATGAAGGGACTTGGCACCGATGAAGACACGCTCATACGCATCATCGTAGGACGCTCCGAGGTAAAGTGTGTGTGTGTGTGTGTGTGTGTGTGTGTGTGTGTGTGTGTGTGTGTGTGTGTGTGTGTGTGTGGACAGTCTGGGAAGTTATTATAGACTTAACAGGAAATTAAAGGTATTATTACGACGCGTCACGTCTTGCAAGAGTGCAGTGCTATAAATGTTTACCGCCTGTCTGTACAGAACTTTAATCATACATGCTTAGGGTTTGTAATTTCTAATTATTAAATGTTTGATTCTTTGATCGGTAACTCAGGATTTCAGTTTCCATTTTTACTCTTACTTGAGTCATTTCTTGGACAGCTACTTTCTAGTTGAGTAAAAATAAGTCAAAGTAGAACCAGAGTGTAACTTTTGGCTACTCTAACCATCTCTCTAGCAAAAGACAATAACTTTTCACACCGACTTGAAGAATTTCCCATTCATTTCATGGCACATTTATGTATTTTGAGTCATTGATGATGAATCAAGCAGTAGAAAAATAAATATTACAGAATATAAATGCCATGGATGCACCACTGTCCTTGTTTCCAACCCTCAGATCGACCTGGAAACGGTGAAAGACATGTACCTGGAGAAGTACGACGTCACCCTGAAAGACGCCCTGGACTCGGAGTGTGGGGGAGACTTTAAGCGTCTGCTCATTGAGATCTTGCACTGAATCACACACTTACATTCACGTCCGCTCCTCACCCGGCCTTATTCCGCTGTGACAAAACGGGATGCCTCTACACGCTCTGTTTTCTATCTCTCTTCACTCTCTACTCTAGGCTTTCTCCATCTCGGAGAGTTCACTTTACAGCATGGACCAAAAAACAAAAAACCCAACTCGACGAAATCCAGTGCAGTGTTTCGACATGTCGTAATTTTTTACAAGTTTTGTTAACACCTTTGAGACTTTTCAGAAAATCGTCTTAACTTGTTGTCCAGTTACTCAACGACAGAATTGCGGAACTAACGGCATCACGTTCATGCATCTTAAAACTTGCAGCGAAGTCATCGTCGTCTGTTGTTTTCCCACTTTCAGCTGCGATCGTTAAGCGTCTAACAGAATAACACACATTCGTCTCTCATCAATTCTTCATGTCACCATTTGCCTGAAGGACGACCTTCACAAGATTGGAAGCGATGCAAGCTACTTTCCGCTGCAACACAGAAGTGCCCGATTATCATATCGAGTCTTTAAGATCCGAAGACATTTGAGCTTTTTCTTAGAACTTAAAATATTGGGACGTCTTCATGGAAGGCCCGGTTGTTTAAGGGATTCGCCGCAGGCAGTTTGGTCGCATATTTCAAAAGACTAGCGAGACGTGCAAGTGCTCCAAGTCGTTTTTAAAAGTTCACATGTTGCCTAGTTCTTAGATTTCTAGACACTCTTAAACTATTTTTTGCATTGAGTATTTAAAAATCACTGCTTCAAAAATAGCCATAGTTGATTGAGACGACGCTGATAACTTTTGATGTTTTAAAGCAGTCCCTCTGAGACTGAGCTCTGTTAGTACGAACGAACTGAGGCATAATTGAAATATTACATATTACAATATAACTTACGTAACTGTATACATGTAACAAAATGTAACTGATGTCTGTTAGTGTTTGTACAATATTGGTATGTAATAGATATTAATAAATTTTAACCACCTGAACTGATTTCGTTCTTCCTGTAGAGGGCAGTGTTGAACCATTTCCGTGATGTTGAGGGGAGAAAAACCCAAACACACTAATCATGATGTAAAGTCAAATATATTCAGCCACACATAACATAAAATGAAACAGGGGATTAATGTTGTTTTGGAGATGATGTTAGTTGCTCTTCTAAGTGACGTGTGTTTAACTTTCATATTGAAATATGGAAACTTTGAACAGAGGTTTCTGTCCACAGGTTTGACCCCAATCACCTTTTGATTCATACCAGAGTAGAAAATCCTGTGTGACGTCTCTGGCTGGGTTAAAACTGGACAGTAAAGGAAGTCAATCAAAGTATGAAATGATCCCAGATGTGCCGCTGTCACATAAACAGCCAGCGTCTCTCCCTCCGCCTCTACATTTTCTTCTCCGAACCTCTCATGGTTTATTTCGCCAGTTTCAGAGATCAGTGTGCACCTGTTTTCTGTAATTTCTGTACATATGCTTCCAGTCTGTGCACCATATGTGGCCTCACCAACTCTGGCTGGCCATTTATTTGCCTGGCTGAGACGTGTTGGCCCCACCACATGTGGCTGCAGATAAATAGAGAGGTTCAGGATGTGTAGACACCAGTCTGGTGTAGGATTCTTTGTGTGTGTGTGTGTGTGTGTGTGTGTGTGTGTGTGTGTGTGTTGTGTGTGTGTGTGTGTGTGTGTGTGTGTGTGTGTGTGTGTGTGTGTGTGTGTGTGTGTTTAAGGGAATTAACACTTTTCTGTTCTTTTTGTCTAAAAAAGGGCTTTCGAGGTTTATGTGCCAACGCATGACATTAATCCAAAATGTTTACCTCGTTTGTAGCTTCGTTTCCATCTGCCATAATTGTGCAACTTAAACATTTTAAAAATAAATTCACTTAATGGAATCCCGCCATTGTTTTTCGATAGTTTTGGTGCTGTGATGTTTTTCGTTGACCGTATCAAAATTGGTTTATTTTGCAAAACTGCCATGGAAACATGTTTTTTTTTCGCATCACACCAGTCACATAGTCAACAACCGCATGTTGTCGCTGGCAGAAACCATGAAGAAGACAACAGGAAGTAGTTGGAGGATGACTCATCGCTGAACAAACTTATTCCCAGGTGATTTTAATTGTGTTTCTCTTGTAATGGAAACGCCGCATGTGCAAATTGTTTTTTGACATTAGTGGCATATTGACAAGGTTTTGCAGACATTTACATATAAAGCAGCTGCTGTTACACGATGCAGATTAATCGTACGACCTGTTCTGAGCCAAAAGCGTCGGTCCCGCCTGGTTCACGGTGCAGCGGTCTTCTTCTGCGGTCATTGGCGTGTCAGGTGAGAAGATGAGTGAGGAGAGTCAGACTGATTTGTCCAACGGGAAGTTTCGCTTGAAAAAACACAGCGATGATGTTTATAAAGAAAACTGAGATATATAGATTGAGACTTTATTTCTCCTTAAGACTATTAGGGCAATAACATTTTCACATTTCAAGCTTACAAAGTTAAGCATGCTAATTAATTGTGATTAATTGTAGCATTGGTGATTAATCTGATTAAATTCCTTAATCGATTGACAGCAGGAGCTTTTGCATCTGTGCTTACCTTGAGATTTTCTTTTGTGTAAATGTAAATGAAAAAAGCAATATAGTTATTTGACTTTTTTTTTTATTTTGCCCCTTTACTATTAACACGTTAGTGGAATAATTAAAAATGGTCAAACGTCCTTTACATAGCCCACATCTGTTAGAGTATCTGGAGGTGGGCACGTGTATCCAGACCCAATTATGTCTGTAAATGTCTGCGGCATGAAGCTGGGTAAAATTTAGCTAGCGCTCTTTCAAACAGTGACATGTCCTCAAAACTTTTGCCCAAAGACTAGAAGTGAAGTCTGCGAGTCTCTGTCTTTCCGGCGTGGATCATGCGGGTAGGCTTTGCTTTCATGTTATTGCTACTTAGTGTAATTTGTATTTTAAATTTTTCCACTGGCTATAAAAGCCCACACACATTCCAAACGGATTGGATCCACTTACAAAGCATTCAAAAGTATTGAAAATCATCAACATCTTTTTGTTTTATTGTTATTTTTAGGAGCAAATATGGGGCGGGTCCTTGTGCCCTCTTTGGTCAGCAGAAGTTTTCCCGTGAAAACTCTTGTGGAGTTCTAATTTTTGCCACTGTCTCTTTACTGTTGAGTAGTAAGAATTGATCTGAACCTGTTACAAGCTGCTTGTAGTAGATTGGTGAACTCCTGGTTGAGGTTCTGATGCATTTTTGTTTTAAAATTTTCAGCTCTAATACCAAGGTTCCCTGCTGTTCCACGTTTTCTCCATCTGTAGATAATGACTCTCCCTGTGGTTCACCAGAGTCCTAAAGCCCCAGGAACAGCAGATTCATGTCAGCGTCTTTGTTTTCAATCTGTTCTTGAGTTTGTTTGGATCCGGGTCATGGATGTCATAGCCTACTGCATATTACTTCTTAAATCTAAAGATCTGGCAGTAACTAGTAAAAAAAAAAAAAAAAACATGTTTAGTTTAAGATTTAACAAAGGGGATTTAAATTAAATTTCATATTGGGATTTGGTTTGTTTTGACATTTTTTTCCCGCTTTATAAAGTCCATGGTTTGAAATCTGCATCATGGAAATCTGTGAGGGAATGTCAACTGAAGTAGCCAAGCTACAAAGCACTGCGTTTGCAACATCTGCTGTTTTATAGCACAGCTCATGGTAAAGTAGCTCCCAGTTCTTCAGTAATAGGACAGTTGCACGAACCAACACCTCGGCCTCTGAAATGCTGTCTGCCTTACATTTATACCCTGCTTTAGAAATCATGCGGCTCCATAATCAGGCTCCACAGCAAATCTGATAAATATTTTTATTGCGTTAACAGAGAAACCTCAAATGTACACGTCATTGTCAGTCTTAAATAGGCTGCTTTTTTTTTATTTTTATTTTTTTACATGGCCTCAGTCTTTCTTTCTATTCATATTTAAGCCAAACTCTGCATGCTTGGTACAGTGCACTCGCGGCAACAAGACTGGCATCTGATGTGAAACACATGCCCTTAAAAATGAAGAGAAACCAGTTAAACAACTGGAGTCATCTGAAGGCCCTTTGGCATAACAGAGTAGGATCTCTGAATGACTTAAATATACAAAAACAACTCAAAACATGCAAACTGAAGACAGTTTAGAACAGAAAGCTGAAGCTTGAAAGACTGTCTGGTGGGAATAAGTGAACAATAACTATGTACAAATAAACCACTGGTTTTCCATGATATAAAAGATCCATTCTGTTTTATTAAATATCCTGTAGTTCATTTTGACAGATTAAAAAAAAAAAAGTAAATTATAGCTGATTACATCATCAAGCAGCTCATAGGGGGAAAGAAATTAGGAGAAATGTTACTTCTTTGTTTTGCCGTCAGTAGGCAATATTTACAAGATATTTTCCAGATGACAAAACCTCTGGGAGCGTCTGAAGGCGGCTACTGCTGCACAGCGGCAGAATGAAACGGTCTGGAGGAAACAGCTGGCTTTCGCTGTGTCTTTTGAACTTCAGCGGGACAATGAAGCCTGACCTCGTGCTGGGGGCTGCACAGTACGGCGCTCGCCGCTGATGAAGCACAGACGCTCCGTTTCAATGATTTATGGTCCACCGCATACTTCAGCGTGAGCAGCGTCCAGTTTAAAGACCTGGACGTTGCTGGATTAATAATTGCGAGGCTGCGGGCCGCTTTGTTTGTTGGTTGGCAGCTCTAAAGTCGACAGACCAGCTTTAAAACTGCCACAGATGCGTGTAAAATGAAATCGATACGAACAGATGAAGTCGCAGGAAGTTTACTTTGAAGCTGGTTTCTGTAACTCAAAAGTATTTTCACATTCACAAAATGACAGCCAGTCATTTTTTGACAATAGGTGATTTAAGCAAAAGAAGAAAAGAAAAAAAAAAATTTTTGGCAAAAAAAAAAAAAAGTCTCAGTCCATTATTTTAGGAAGGTCAAAATATATATATATATATATATATATATATATATATATATATATATATATATATATATATATATATATATATATATATTTTTTTTTTAAAAACATATTTGTTAAAATAATTATTTTCGATGCGACAGTATAACCTGTTGCGTCAAAGACAGACGAGCTGTGAGGAGCTCAAGTTCCTCCAGTCTGAAGAAACGCAGCGCTCCAGTCAAAATCGACCAATCAGAGCCAGGAGGAGGTTCATGCCTGTGATCGACAGCGACATCCTGGGTTTGAGTTCAAGTCTCTTTCGATGAAGCTTACCTGTTCTCCCTTTGCATCCTTAGATTCTCTCCAGGCCGGATGCTTTATGCAATAAATGGTGGGAGATAAAAATGAAGCCAATTCCACTTCACTAAACAACTCTAGATGACCTCCTGCTAATAGATGTATTTATTTGAGTCATATCATTTTTTTTTTTGTTCTTAGAGTACTAGATTATGATTACAATATAGGAAAATAATGAAACATCCCGATTGGATGTGGATTAAGGCATTGCTAGTATAAAACCTCCCAGAGCAAAAGACGGCATTCACACCAAAACCGCGACAAATGAAACATCTAATATTTCAAGGAGACTATTGTGTTGACTGGGCCAAATGGGCATTCAACACAATGCCCATTTGGTAAAACACAAAGTTTTACCAAGGTTTGTTTGCCTAGTTTCTAGTGCGAATATCTTGGTACATTTGAAATAAGACAAAAACCAACTTACAAGAAACTTTTCAGCAAGATATAGGAGCTTGTTTTGTCTCAATTCAAATATTTTCTGTTTTTGTGGTGTAGCAACTTTGTCGTTTGACTTAGAGGTATCGGTGCAAATGTTAGGTGTTTTAGTGAGATTATGAATGTATGTGGCCTTATTGTTAAACTGAAATAGGAGGAATCAATATGGGAAGGTTTTGGCCTTTCAGGCTGTTTGTTATCATGCTGCCACCCAAACCGCTGACACCCCACTCCCTGCTTGG